CCTCTGAAATCTTGCTCCTCTGTTCTTTAAAAAAAATTCACCGATTTCTGCTCTCCACCAACAAATAATGTTTTTCACCTCACATTAGCTAACTGGCATGTGATTACCTGGATTAGCTTTGGGTCCCCTTTGGAAAATCAGTGTGACATTGACTGTTTCCCAATCCTGTGCAATGGAGGTCGTTTTTACGGAAAGTTTGCTTCGTCTTCTTTTTTAGAAAATAGTTTCATATTGAGTCATTTTCTTTATAAACTCTCGGGTAGGTGTCATCTGGGCCCAGCGACTTGCTCATTTTTATTTCTCAACAGAACCTAAAACCTCATCACTTGTCACTTCTGTTTGATTCAAGTCTTCAAACACATTTCCCGAAAAAGTCAGTTCAGGAGCAGGAATCTGCCCTATATCTTCTGCAGTGAAGAGAGACACAACTAAATCATTTAATTTCTCTGCAGTCTCCCTAGCCTCCTGATTCTCATGTATTAAAAGTATGTTTTTATTGTTATCCTTAATGTTTTTAGCAGTATGTTCCTCAAATTCTTTTTTCTTCTTTATTTTCCTGTCAACTTACATTGGTTTCAACAGAGTTTGTGCTCCTCTTTCGTCTCCCTCAATTTCCGAAAGTAAACCTTCTTGCCTTTTATAGCTTTCTTCTCTGTTCATTAATCATGCTGGCATCGTCTTGGATTTAGTGGTTCTGTTCCTAATCTGTGATACACATTCCAGCTAAGCTTCTATCATCATGGTTTTAAAAAGCTTCCAAGCATCTTGGGGAGAGATTTGACCCTCTTGACTCTCCCTTTCAACAATATTCTAAATATTCTTCTCACTCTTGAGGAGTTTTGCCTTTTGAAATTCAATACTACTGTGTTGCCCACTTTCTACACTGCAGTTGCTGTTCCCAGTTGGTTTTCCCCAGTCCTCCAGAGCAGAGGAAACACAGCGGCGAGAGAGAGAAAGGAAGTTCCTCTGCACATAGAAAAGCCTTTCCTTGCATTCAATAATTTAGTTGGATAGAAACCTAAGCCTAGGAATTACCTCTGGCTAGTTCCATGGGAAAGTTAATTGGGAAAGGAGTACGACAAGGCTGTATATTGTCTCCCTGCTTATTTAACTTATGTGCAGAATTCATCATACGAAAGGCTGGACTGGATGAATCCCAAGCCGGAATTAAGATTGCCGGAAGAAATATCAACAACCTCAGATATGCAGATGACACAACCTTGATGGCAGAAAGTGAGGAGGAATTAAAGAACCTTTTATTGAGGGTGAAAGAGAAGAGCGCAAAATATGGTCTGAAGCTCAACATCAAAAAAACGAAGATCATGGCCACTGGGCCCATCACCTCCTGGCAAATAGAAGGGGAAGAAATGGAGGCAGTGAGAGATTGTACTTTCTTGGGCTCCATGATCACTGCAGATGGTGACAGCAGTCACAGAATTAAAAGATGTTTGCTTCTTGGGAGTAAAGTGATGACAGACCTAAAGCAGAGACATCACCTTGCTGACAAAGGTCCGTATAGTTAAAGCTATGGTTTTTCCAGTAGTGGTGTACAGAAGTGAGACCATAAAGAAGGCTGATCGCTGAAGAATTGATGCTTTTGAATTATGGTGCGGGAGGAGACTCTTGAGAGTCCCATGGACTGCAAGAAGATCAAACTGATCCATTCTGAAGGAAATCAGCCCTGAGTGCTCACTGGAAGGACAGATCGTGAAGCTGAGGCTGCAGTACTTTGGCTACCTCATGAGAAGAGAAGACTCCCTGGAAAAGACCCTGATGTTGGGAAAGATGGAGGGCACAAGGAGAAGGGGACGACAGAGGACGAGATGGTTGGATAGTGTTCTCGGCTACCAACATGAGTTTGACCAAACTGCGGGAGGCAGTGGAAGACAGGAGTGCCTGGCATGCTCTGATCCATGGGGTCACAAAGAGTCAGACACGACTAAACAACTAAACAACAACAAGTTCCATGGCCAACTGTTCCAAGGCATAGACATTTAGGATATCTGGCATTTTTGTCTCTTTGTTTGGAAAAACAACAACAACCCACAAGTCCAGTTTGGGGTGAGACAACAAAGAGGACTGTTTCATCTGTGATTTCAGGAATTTCCCAACTATATTCTTCTGTTGAGATGCCAGGGACCTATTATGTACTCCATTGACTAGAACCACAAGGACACTTTTGGTAAAAGCAATGCACAACAAAAAAGAGCTACATTTGAAACACTACACACAAAATATGATCTCTTCCAGTAAGGCAAGGTCCCTTTCAAACTACAAAATTTCCCAGAACTTTTTGCAACAGTGGGAGCTGCCTTGTGAAATTCCAGTCTTTATATACACACACAGGTTTCCCTTTTTGCCTATTACACACACATATTATCTGTGGTAGATTTAATTAGCAGTCAGTACACCCTTTCCTTCGCTCGAAACATGTGCATTTACTTTTCTCCAATTATTTTATCTTAAGCAATGCAACTAGGGTCGCACTCAGAAGTAGCGTCCGGGAGATCCAGAAACTCACTCGAGGGCTTTCCATCCAGTGCCCCCACCCCCTCCTTCTTTCGAACTCGGGGGTGATTTATTGGCAACTGCGGACGAGGCAGCATCTTCCCATCCCCTGGGAAGAATTCGGGAGGCTAATTTACTCCCATCATCAGCCCCTTAATTACCTCGTGTGAGCCGGAGAGATGGTATTGTCGGCCATCTTCCAAGGTGCTCCTAGCGGCCCCCCTACAGACACATATCATCATCATCATCATCATCATCATTATTAATTGAATTTATATTCCACCCTATACTTGCACAAGACTCATGAGCTGTAGACCAGAATATATCTCCGGGATCCTCTCCAGAAATTACCATTTCTCAGATGCCAATTTGATCTTTCTCACTATCACAAATATGCTCTGCTCACTTTCCTATATGCTTTTACAAATATGAATGAACACTTGAGAGTTACCGTCTCGAGTTCTGACTCCAGAACTCGTAAGGAGGAATAGAGGGAGAGGGAGAAAAAAGTGGTCAGTGACAAGGTCAACCAGATGGCACTGTAGTGTCCCTGTGAATGGAGTGTGTTTGCAAGAAATATTCAACAATAAATATTGAATAATAAAGACTCTCCTCCCTGAAAGAGAGGGGAGTGGTTGTGGACGGGAGCCCGAACACTGCTCCTAGCAGGGGGCGTTGCCCCCTGCCTCCAGCTCACCTGGCTGGCGCTCACGCCCCCCCGGAGGCCGTCCAACCAGGTGCCATGGGGGGGGCGTGTCCAGCAGCCTTTATGCTGCAGTGCCAGCCTCTCCCCTAAAGGTATGAGGAGAAAGACAAAACAAGGGCGCACACTTTCAAGTTCCACTTCCTGTTTATTTACAATGGCTGACTTCCTACCAAATGGGAATTCAAGCTTTAAAAACTTCTATGACACTTTGATTCCCCATGTTCTACAGTTCTCAGCCTAAGAAGTATTAATATGCACTTGGGGGGGGGGAATAACTGAACTATGCCAATGAGTAGCTGAAACAATAACATAGCAACATATATATTGTTTATTTTCCTAAGTTTGCTTCCACCTTTCCAGCTAAGAGACAATAAAATCATATGGCAACTCGTATCAAAAAGCAGTCTGTCACACGGCAGCTACAGTTTATCTTTAAGACACTGGTGTACCACTAATATTTTGTAGACGGAAGCTGAATCCTTGACCCACACTATTTATGCTGACAGGTACAAATGGAATGCATAAAGTCAAGGACAAAGGAAACAGACAGAAATAAACATAATAGGCAATGATGAATGGTAAAAAATAATTAATTTACGGCTCAGACCCATAAGCATAAAGTGCCACTAAGGGGGAGTGGAAATTATTTGCATTAAACAGCCCCAGAGTCTAGAAAACTATCGTATGAAATAATACTTCCTTGGTCTTCTCACACACACACACACACACACACACACACCATACTAAAATATGGGGGCAAGGTCTATGTTTTTGCTTCCCTTGGCAAAATTTATTCATTTGTTTTATTTTATTATTATTAATTTGCTGGAAGCCGCCACTGTGAGTTGGGTGGCTTTGATGATGATGATGATATAGAGTTTTATTGGCACCTTATGCCAAGGACTTTTGATGTTTTAGCAACTTGACAGGTACTAGTCAGTCAGCACTACAGAATTTTCTTCATGTCATCAGCATCCAAGGAATACATATATTCCTATGTATTATGTTTCCACAATCATGTAGAATTACAAAAACATCCTCAGATGCTGGAATTTGCTATGTAGTTCAGCTTCTTAAGAATGCCATCTTTAATTTTAGTTTACATCAGTAATTTCCACTTCTTACGGTCTCGGATATGCTTGTGAGTAGCATGCTGAGATTTCAGAAGCCAGGAGATTTGCTAACTTAAGAAACCACAGTGCCTTGCATATAGCTCTCGTGCTTTCTCCAAAAACAACAGAAATAGTGGAATACATCATGTATACTGTAAGAGAAATTACAGAAAATATGTCCAATTGGCCTGATTCACATATATTATGAATGGTGTTGTTATTAAAATATTATAGCATTTTATTTAGTTATTTAAAGCATTCATCGATTATTACAAGGCAGTTTAAAAAAACCTAAAACAAGTACACATGTAAACTAGCCAACAGATAAAAGCACACAGCCCTGGAAATCTTTGAGTTTAGAATGCCTAGAAGACAACAAAGTTGGTGCTAGATGCACAACTCCCTTGGAATAGCATATCACAGCTGTGGCATCAATATAAAAAAGAAAAAAGCCCTCTCTTTTGTTGTTTCATCTGTAAAAGATACGGAATTTGGAATAATGCATTAGCCAATGACGTTAGCAAGTTGGCAGGCTGATAAGAACAGGAGATGCTTCTTCTTCCAAGTATGTTTTTATCAGTGTGTGCAAACCCAGAAGACGACACAGAACTGCAGAAACAGCGCATACCTCTCATCCAAGATAATGATCAATCTAAAAATGTATACGCACGTACCTAGTCTCAAAGCGGAGGGTGTCACTTCAATCTCTCCTCTGATTGGCTGAAATGCAGCCAGCTGGGCAGCTACATCCGTCTCGAAAGCATCAGGGCTGTTTCCATTTGTCAAACTAGCACTGGCGTCCTCAGACTTGGAGACGGACTCTTGCTCGTCGTACACAGCAATCAACTGCAAAATGAAATGTTACTTTATTAAACTTTTGTAACAAGAAGGTGGTCCCCTCATGGAAGCACAACTAATTACGACTTGGATCCAAAGAACTCTATGTGCATGATGACATGAGGATTTTCTCGCCTGAAAGCCCCAGCAGCAGTATCTCCCCACCCCCATTTCTGATTCATCTGCAAATGTTAGGATGGACTTTCTAGAATAGAATGTGATAGTATTTTATTACTTTTTTTTAAAAAAAAGTATTATCCTACAAGTAACTTAACAAGTAACGTAACATCAGCACGGATGGCACTGTGGTACAAACCACTGAGCCTTGGGCTTGCCAATCAGAAGGTCGGCAGTTCGAATCCGGGCGACGGGGTGAGCTCCCATTGCTCCGTCCCTACTCCTGCCAACCTAGCAGTTTGAAAGCACGTCAAAGATAAATAGGTACCACTCTGGTGGGAAGGTAAAAGGCGTTTCCATGCGCTGCTCTGGTTTCGCCAGAAGTGGTTTAGACATGCTGGCCACATGACCTGGAAAAACTGTCTGTGGTGAAGTCCAGTCATGAATGCGGTTAAGTCCAGTCACGAATGACTCTGGGATTGCGGTGCTCATTTCGCTTTACTGGCCAAAGGAGCCAACGTTTGTCCACGGACAGTTCCCCCCCTGTATTTTAAAATATAAAAACTGGCACCTTGAACTAAGCCTCAAAATGAACTGGCAAGAAGTGCAGATCAAAAGCTGTCCTGAGAGATATCTCAAGGTATATTGTAAAACAGAGAAAAATACGTGAAGACCAAATGTAAAGCGTTCATCTTACAGTACCCAAAAGGTAAGCAGAAAGAACCATTCTACAAATAAATAGTTCTGAACAGGTAGGAGGAATCTATAAGCAGGCCACCAAAGCATAATCAATGTTGTTCTGATGTTTTGTTTAGTTTTAACAGGGCATGAACACAGAGTAAAGGCAATAGTGGGAACATATTCACATTCAAGTCTTCAAGTAGATAAGAACAGTTCGAGGCAAAATTACAAAGATACGTGGGGAAAACAAATTGAGGGGTGGGAGTGGAAGCTTCTAGAAATGGTAGTGGGAGCTGTGTTGCCCATAAAGACGGTAAAGATAAATATCGTATAGCACTTTGATACAATAGACGGCGGATAACTGAGGGAATTGAGGTGGCCAATACCCAGAAAGCAGAATATAGGGGGGGGGGCAGGGAAATGCCAAAAGCACAGAGGAAAGGTCATCGAAGGCAAGCACATGTACAAACAGAGTAGACTGGGGAAGCACTGTAAATGAAATCAGATTTATTACAGAAAAGAAAACAAAAGTGCGGGGCGGGGGGGAGCTGAAGAGGTCAGTGTTCCTCAAGCTGAAATAAGAAACTACTATGTAGAAACCCCCATCTGAAAAGAACTGGACCACACAATATGTGTTTGTGTGATAAGAAATAGAGTACCTTCTAAATAACAAATCATCATATCTATGCATCCTGCATTGGGAGAAAACAAATACAGCAAAATAAAGAAGATGGCCCAGATAATATTCTGTAAAAAAATTAAAAAGGAAAATATACAAGACTACAAGTAGTAGAATTAGCAGCTGTTTATTTTTTATCACATGGTGGTGCAGCGATAGACAGAAGTACTATATCCATTTAACATTTCCATTTAACATTTGTTAAAAAACCCGAGGCATTTTTGTTGGGGATTGTAGGGAAAGACCTGCCCAAAAAGTTGAAAAACATCTTCATGTATGTGACAACGGCCGTGAGAGTTCTGGTAGCACAAGGATGGAAGACTGAAGAAACCCCAACTAAAGAATCATGGCAAGAAAAATTGATGGACTATGCAGAACTGGCAAAACTGCATATAAGCTACGGGACAAGGATAACTGTGACTTTAAAGATGAATGGGAACCTTTCACAAAGTATCTGAAGACACAACAAAGCGAACTGGACTCCTTGGCAGGTTTTGAATAAACATTCACAAACTTTTTATTGATAATAATCAGCTAAATAGTTTGAGGATCTATACAACTTTGTAACATGCAGAAAACAGCATTCTCAGAGAAACCAAAGACTGGAACTGAGGGAAGCCGGGGGGGTGCGGTTGTGTGGGAGGGGGGAGGGAGGAAAAATGGGGGGGGGACAAGATGATATGTTTTTGGATAATATGTCTTGTTATAATTTTGAATAAAAAAAGAAAAAAATTAAAAAAATTAAAAAACTAAACACATTTACTGATAAAGAAAGAGAAGTACTATATCTAAAGCAGCAATGGTCAATGATAATGAAACTATACTGTCAACAATATATTGGTTTTACGACGCAGGTGTTTTACAGTGGACATCTCAAAGGCTTATAGAAGAAAGTAAATACTTTAGACCCGTGACAATTAGAAAACATACTTTGGGGCTTAGAAATAAAACAACCAAACAGGGATATTCTCCCATGATAATTCCTGCCACAGCTTTGCCAAGTTTGACTTATATTGGGATATTAGTGGGAAAGAGCACTGTGTCTTCAATTCAAGATTACAATAGTGTATGTTGGTGAGAACTACCAGAAATGCTTAATTATTTGATCATGGAACAGCTGTCAGGCTGTCTGTTTTTCTTCTTATATTTTCTTTGTAATAGCTTTTGCTTATACATAAATAAAAAGCTTTTTTTAAACAACAACAACAACAGGGAAAGCTACAAGAAACATAATAATGCAATAGATACCTGCCTGAAGATATGGGATCAATAGAAACCTTAAGAGAACATGGGGAATTTCCACAATAGCATCCATCGTGGAAGATGGAAAATGTTTTTAGCAAGCACTGAAGAGCACAGTGCAGGGACCTGCCTGATGTCAATAGACCGGATGTTCCAAACTGTGGGTGCTTCCACACCAAAATATTGATTTCTTCCAAATGCATAATGGATATTATGTAGCACATGGGTAGGCAAACTAAGGCCCGGGGGCCAGATCTGGCCCAATCGCCTTCTAAATCTTGCCCGCAGATGGTCCAGGAATCAGTGTGTTTTTACATGAGTAGAATGTGTCCGTTTATTTAAAATGCATCTCTGGGTTATTTGTGGGGCATAGGAATTCGTTCATTATTTCACCCCAAAATATAGTCTGGCCTCCCACAAGGTCTGAGGGACAGTGGACCGGCCCCCTGCTGAGTTTGCTGACCCCTGTAGCACCTGTAATTCCACTTATCAAAGTAGCTGAGTGGGTAAGGTAAGGTGACTTCAATGGTAAACTGGTCCCAAGAGAAGACTCCCTGGAAAAGACCCCGATGTTGGGAAAGATTGAGGGCACAAGAAGAAGGGAACGACAGAGGACGAGGTGGTTGGACAGTGTTCTTGAAGCTACCAGCATGAGTTTGACCAAACTGCGGGAGGCAGTGGAAGACAGGAGTGCCTGGCGTGCTCTGGTCCATGGGGTCACGAAGAGTCGGACACGACTAAACGACTAAACAACAACAACAACAATAACATTTTATTTATATCCTGCCCTCCCCAGCCAAAGCCAGGCTAAATGCGGCTGACAACAGTAAAATAATACAACATTCTAAAATCATTTCATTATAAAATCAGTTCAAATCAAATTAATGGCAACCGTTGGGCTAGAGTTCACCCGTTGGAAGGAACAAGGCCTAAAATGATTTCAGGGTTACAATGTTGGATGCAAGAAAGAGGGAGCAGGGCTCTTTTTGTGTACCATGGCTTTCGTGCCTCCCCTCTCGAGGTGCAACCCAGCGCACCCCCTCAAAAGTAGTTTCTGCAGGTGGAAAGACCTTTTGGAATGGCACAGGAATGCAACAGGAGGTTAGACCTGGCAGAAATTTGGGGGGGGGGCTTGCATGAGTGGGAGCGTCTTCCACCCAAAGGGGGAATTCCTGTATCCCAGTTACTTCAGCTAAATTAAAACGGAATGCAATGTTACATGTGCAAATTTAACTCTCTTCGGATTCTTGTATAAACCAAGAAGAGAAAGGTAGGAGTGCTGTTTCGTTACATTTAAAATACTACTGTAACATCTCATTCTCTTTGTCACTTTGAAGATCTATGTCACAATGATACACTAGGGTTAGTAAAATAACAGAACAAAAAGACAAATATTTAATGAAATCCGTTTGCCCGGGGCAAGGAAACAATGTGAAATAAGGAACTGGGTGGAAAAATAAGGAAAGAAAGAAAGAAGGGGGGGTGAAATTTAACGGCTCAAAAGAAATTGACATTTTTGGGTCTCCTACTCATTTATAATTTGGTTGTAGAAAGGGTGTCAGCTCATGTTCACAAAGACATATTTTAGTAGCATCCACATGCATGATAATTAGGGCGGTAACATTGTGCCCCTCTTCAAATAAAGCATGCATACTTTTGGCAGGTCTCTTGCCATCCAATTTAAGTTCTGCGTGGTGTTTATTTTTATTTAACATCATCACCCTGCCATTCCTCATAAAAAGAGCTAAAGGCAAACAGCAACATCAAACCGCAAAGCAACAATGTAAAACATCAGTTGCAAAACATCATTAACGCACATTAACAAATACAGCTGTAGAAACGCAACATCAAGAGCAGCAGCAAGCGTTGTTATTCCAAATAAGCAGACTGTTAAAAGCTATTCAACTCTAACAATCACTTGCAAGCCATAGAAGATCCCCAATTACGACCAATAGGTGTATGGCAACTGCTTTAGGACCAGAGTTGTACTGTGGGGAGGAATTGTGGTGGACCGCATGGCCACCCACTCTCCTCCAGGGGTGGGGGACAAAGCCCCATGTTGCCCAGGGGATCCCGGCTGTGTCATTGACCAGCCAGCCAATCCGCTGGTTGGTGGGGGGCTTGGCCAGGACCAATTAAGCTGAGGCACGAGCCAGAGGGCTTCCTCTTGGCTCGCTTCTTCAAACTCCCTCCCTCCCTATTTTACAGGTTTTTCTTCATTGGCCTTGCTATGGACCTCGGTTGGTCGCCGTTGAGGAGCCTGGTAGGAATTTTTCCACTTGGCAAAATT